CACGAGTGCATCATGCCGACTGAAGTATCTCGTCTGTTGGTGCTAGGCACCGACCAAGACAGCAATGCTGCAGTGATCTCAAAGCTACGTGCCCTATGTTGCGACGCAGATGCCGAAGTCTCTGTGTCGGACGTGACGTTGCTGAATCTCCAGACCAAATACTACCAAGCACCCGTAGAGCTGCACGTTCACCGAGTTCGTGACAACACGCCTGAGCCTGCTCTGCAGCATGAACTGCACGAATACGAGGCTGTTATGTGCGTTGCAAATACCGAGAGCTTCGCGCACATGCATCAGCTTGCAAAGCGTATCGTGGACACACTACCGTACGACGTGTGTCTACTGGTGACGAGCACTTCGTCGGCTACAACTAAGAGCGTCAAGAAGATGGAGACCTGGTGCCAAGACAACGGCTTCGAGTTGGTGGACTTGGACACAGAGAAGGTGGTCAGTCCTGATAGCGTTATCGACGAGAAACAAGGCATGGAACGCGTGCTGGAGGCGCTGCAATGCACCATGTGGAGATCCATGGAAATGAACCCTCCGAAAGTAGAGACTGCTGCAAAATCTAAAGAGGAAGCGACCGCAATGACGGAGAAGGTGGAAAAGAACGAGGATATCGAGAACCAGAAGGAGAATAAGGCGGACAATGATGAACAGGGAGGTGCAACGGATGATACAAAGCTCCAGGCATTGTTGCAAGCACTGGAAATCGCTGGCGATGGTGGTGCCTCTGGTGAAGGTGGCGAGGACGACATCGATATGGCTCAATTCAGTGCGCTAATTTCGGAGGTTCGCAACGTCCGCGACCAGGGTCAATCCCTCACGGATGAGCAACGCCGTGAACGTGCTGCCGAGGTGGCCATGAAGCTCTGGACCTTCCTGGGTGCAGATGATGGCGCTAGCGATTCAGATTAGCCTTATAATTGGTCAAAATACTGCATAAAAATCGGTATAACGTGTTTGGATTGGTAGAAATAAGTTTTCAAGATACTCATTGGTGGGCGATGCATTTCGAGAGTATCATCGACCATGGCGGACGCGCAGAGTGAAGTTAACCTCGTGGATCTGTCGCTAGAGCAGCTTAATGCGCTCAAGGGCCAACTGGAGAAGGAGCTGCAGCAGCTGACGACGTCGTTCGGCGGCCTCCGCGAGGCTCAGTCCCGGTTTACCGAGTCCAAGGAGGCGCTCAAGAGCATGGCAGCCGCCGACCTTAACAAGGAGGTGCTGGTGCCTCTCACGGCGTCCATGTTCGTCGCTGGCAAGCTGGCCAACAAAGAAGAAGTTTTGGTGGACGTGGGTACCGGTTACTTTGTGGAGCAGTCAGTGGAGAAGGCTGAGCAGTTCATGGACAGGAAAGTCGAATTCCTGCAGACCAACACGGAGCAGCTCAAGACGGTCATTGACGGCAAGCGCAACATGCTCGAAGCCGTGCTAATGATCATGCAGCAAAAGATGCAGGAGGCGCAGCGCAAGTAGACACCATAGCGTCCAGCACACTTCATTAAATAGCCCAGAAACAGAATGTGTCAATCTTCGTCCATGATAGCCTTCTACTTTATCCTCCGTTCCAGGCACAAGTTAGACACGCAACTACAGAATTTGACTTCTACATGTATATGATACTACAGTAACAATTGAACGCAACGCAAGACGAGCACGATGTCATTATCAAATTGGTTCTAGATGAATGCACTATCGCCTTGGTAACAGGATGCTGTAAAGTAGCATCTGCATCGACCCTTGGACGTCAATTGCTGCCCCCTGTAGGCATGAATGTCATATACCGGTATCGTATAACCTGCCCGCCTTTGTCTTGAGTACGTCGCTTGGATATCTCGTCTTCTGCAGCTTGGGGCCGGTCAATAAATATGCACGAGTCCGTAGGAGAGCGTCCAGAAGAGGATGAAGGACAGCGCCTGGGACAAGACTCCGGCGAAGATGAAGCTGAAGGCGTTCGTGTTGAAGTAAACCTTGACGTCCATGCCGAGCTTGAAGACCCAGATCGAGGCAGCAGTGGACACGTAGGCAGCAGCTAAGAAGGCGAAACCCTGCAGACCTGTCATGCCTGTGATGCCCGCGATGCAGCCGGCGATGACACACATGGACGTATGAACGTACTCGACGGCCTTCTCGTTGTTCTTCATGTTCTCCATGGAGAAGAACTCCACCTTCTTATCCTGCAGAGCCTCCATCTTGCGTCAAAGCACTCCAGTATTACACGTTCTTGTATTATAGAGGGGGTCGTTCCTAAGTTCGTCTTAAGTTTGATTGGTGTGACCTACATAAAATACGCTGGCGGTTCTTTTGAATTTCCGAATAGCCGTTTGAATTTTGGATCATCAAATTCAATCAGAGTGCAAACTTCCATCTCGGAGTCACGAGCGTCACCCGCTGCTTGCCTGCCTCCACCACGTCGCTTCAAGTTGACCTGCAGTTACCTCTATTATATCCCACGAAACTGGCGTATAACTGCGCATTGACATCGCAACTCGCCTCGCCAGCAACAGATACGTTGAGTTGTTGCTGCAACAGTTGTTCGAGCCAAAATGTCAAGACAAGTACGCTCGAAGGTGGCACCGCGAAGGTCGTGGCGCTCGGTGACGGGTTTATTGCTTCACAGTCGGACGCTGCATAGCACGTTGGCGATGATGGAGCACCAGGACAACGTCGCTCGGCTAATCAGCGAGATGCCGCGTGCTCACAGCCCGAGACGGCGAACCATTGAGATCCAGCACATGCCGCATGCCGCTCCTGTTATCAAACTACTGGCCAAGCCACTTGTGTTCAGGAAGACCAAGCGCGAGCTCGAGCGAGAGCAACAACAAGCACAAGAGCGCCGACAGCTCGAACGGATGCAGAACAAGAAGCGGCAAATGGGACAGACTCGGGAGAATATCAAACGTGCACGACCTAAGTGTGCACGTATGCTGCAGTGGAGTTGCCGAAGGGCATCGGAGTATATTAATTCGAGACCGGCAGAGTTGCGTACACAGTCCCGGCGTCGACTGTTTTAAAGTGATGACGTCAAGAGCTTGACCAAGTCCAGTTGATGCGAGTCAAGATGATCCAAGTGCATTTTTGAAGTGGAGAGCACTCGATTTGAACAGGTACAGCAGAGTGGAAACAAACGCTCTCGACTACACTATGAACGATGGTTTGGACGGAAGCTAGTAGAGCAGATCCATCGTCACTTTCGGCGCAATTTCAAGGAAATAAAGGCCCTAGTAGCCGCTCATACAATAAATAGAGAAACATGATACTTAAGTATCAATACTCTCGGCGTTTGTCCCTTGCATCCATGCAGGAGTCCAGCGTATCAGTATGTCGAGGTGTCGAATCTTGTCGCTAGGGAGCGAACTTAGCAATACTAAGTTCGCATTTTCAGGAAAAGAAGGCTTTTTATTGAGCGCCGACATGGGACTGGAGGAGCTGGTGGTGACGGGCGCGTACGTGTCCGGGGCGGTGTGCATCGTGCTGTTTACGCTGACCATCAGCTGGCTCGTGGTGTGGAAGTGCGTATTGGCCAAGATGCCGTTCATCCAGGAGCTTTTCGACTTGAAGCCAAAGAAGCCGTCCGCGCACGACGAAAAGTCTATATCCTTCCAGGATCGATACCAAGCCTACAAGCGGGTGTGTCCATGTATCTGTAATTACAATATGATCTCTACACTCATGGCAACTGACACATATACGTGTTCCCACTGTAGAAACGGCACGCGACGAGAATTTCGTAGAGAACCAAAGGAGGACGCGAGCGGCTAAGCATCACGGCCATCGCTCACGAATAAACTATTGACTTCATTTTTGCGTGTCTTCTATCTCACGAGCCACTTGCCTCCTGCTCCTTCCTCACTGTCATCATTCTGCTGCAGTTGACGCACCATTTCCAAGTATTCATTGGTTTCGCTTGAAGTGGGTACTCGGTTGTCTCCGGTATTGGTTTGCACTTCTGCTGCCTTCCTCTTCTGCGCTGCTAAAGACATTCTCTCCTCCAGGGAGAGCTTCGTCGACGCGGTCTGGGCTTCTTTCGCTTCTGTACGGGACTTGGCCAGCGCCACCTCCCGTTTCCTACGGATCTCCTCGTCTTCTTCACCTGGTTGTTGATTTGCAGCGCCGTACTTGCGCTCTGCTGTCTCTGGATCCCATTCACGAAGTGCATCCAGTGTTGGTTTCTTCACTTGAGCCTGCAGCTCTGACGGCAGCTCCCAGTAGCTTCTTCCCAATGCCATATTGAAATAGTACTTTCGCTATCGCGATTTGGGAGCGGATAACGAAATGAATTAGCTCAATACAGCAGAACCAACGCGATAGTAGTATACCTAGTCGTATAAGGAAGATATATTAGCACTCACACCACTCTTTGGATCCACATGCTCCGTCCAGAAGCCCGCCTTCTTTGGTGTCTCCATCTCGCGTCTGATAGTAAAGTGATTGATTATTGCGAACTTAAGCTACCAACATGCGAACTTAGCGCGGCGGCGACGGAGGTGGTCCGCCGAAGTAATTCCACACAGCTACCTGCCGGTCCCAGGAGCACGAGGCCACTAAACCATCCACAAAGAGACTGAAATCGAAGCCGAACACGAACTCACTATGGTGCTGCGCGTTCTGAAGCCGCGGATATGGTGATTTAGTGTTCCAAACCCCGACCGACATGTCGTACGACGCCGATGCGATCACATCTGGATCATGTGGTGAGCACTTGATCCTTCGCACAGCATAATTGTGACCTGGAAGCATCCGCACCTCACGTGTCGGGTTTCGGATATCCTGTAGCAACAACGCTAGTGTTTAGTATCAATAAAACGAAAAGTATCGACAACGGAACGTACCCAGACTTTGATGGTGCAGTCGGCCGATCCGGACACAACTTCGAACTGGTTGTACTTATTCCAGTCCATAGCGAGCACTTCGTTGCTATGTGCACCGATCGTTGTAACAGAGCGTGCACTGTTGAGATCCCAGATCTTAACAGTTCCGTCCCCGGAGCACGACGCTACCAACGAGTTATTTTGCGTGTTCCACACTGCATTATACACTGCGCTGGAGTGCTCTGCAAGCGTCAAGATCGAGTGTGGCACCTCGGGTTTCCAGATCTTCACCGTGCCGTCCCATGATGCCGACGCGAACGAGTCTTTCGACACTAAGTTCCAGTTCACCCCAGAGACCTCCTGTTTGTGCTCGTGGTAGTTCTGGATCGGAAACTGGTCGCGTGTCTGCAAGTGCCAGAGTTTCACAGACCCGTCGGCGCACGAACTCACGAGCTGCTGTCCGTGGTTCTCGCTCCACGCGCAGTCGTAGATGCCCTGTGGCGTGTCAAACGCTCGGATCTAGCAGAGCGGCGTCAATAATACAATAATTTATCCTATACTTTAGCTGTAAAATTCTCTCTCACCGGAGCTAATCCTCCCGCTGGGAGCATCTCGTACACGTGCTGACGGCCATTACCCACGATTCCGAAGTATTGTGCCGTTCCGACTGCTATCAAATTGTCCACGAACGGGCTGAATTCCACCTGATTGCAGATTAAATAAGAGCATAAGTTCAAGCGCATAAGCGCATAATTAGATATGAACATTGTACGTACCGCGTAGCCGTGGAGCTCGGTCTGCGTCTGCCGCGGCTGGAGGAACATGCCACCGAGTTCCCAATTCGTATCAGTGTCGACGCAAGCTCATCACATTAAGTGGTGTGGTGCACACCCAACATTTAAACTTCAAGTCTAAAGTTGAAAATAAAAATAAAGTATTTAGAAAATTACACTTGGTTCTCAATAAGCTCAGTTCGAACAGTTGACCATGGCGCGTCGAGCGCTCCAGCTTCTGGCACTCGCTGCGACGATGCAGGACGTTGAATGGTAGTTTACGCACTTGCATCATATTCTGCGTCATCTTGGCCTTCTATTCAGGCCATTTTCATCGTGTATAACTGCTTATTGCTGCTGTTATCGCTATTCTAACATCCACATCGACTGGTTTTCACAGCTTGGAGCTCTCGAACCGGCAGCTGACGAACATTACGTCGAATGGCAGCAGCTTCGCATTCTACAGTGACAGTGAGCTCATTACGACAGTGTCGGCTTCCGCTTTGTCTCAAGAATCGCGCCTCCAACTGCAGGACAACTCGCTCAATAGCATCCCTGCAACGCTCTTCCAAGCGGCCTACAACGTCACATCCATGTGGGTTTTACGCTGCTAAGAAGTTTTTCATATAGTACTTTGGACTTTAACCATCAATTATTTCGCTAATACGTGCAGAGATATTTCCAATAACCCACTGACGAAGCTGGACGCCGGATCGTTCGTCAATATGCCCAACCTTCAGAGCATTTTGTACGGATTATCTAGTGTAAAGTTGTTGACGTTTTCTCATCTAACTGGTTATGCTGTTGTAGGTGTTCAAACACAAATGTTACTGTGCTACCAAACAGCCTCGTGAGCAACTGTCCGCTGTTGAGCATCATGTCGTTCAACCACAGCGCAATTGGAGAGATTGAGCCGCAAGCACTGGTGAACCTGACAGCCTTACACACGCTAGATGTGAGCCACAATGAGCTGGAGAGCATTCCTAGTGCACTGTTCACAGTATCTTCGTCGTGGAAGTCTCTGGATTTCTCGCATAACGGCATTATGGAGGTGCCGTCTGGTATACGGAATGCTATTGCTGAAGGCTACATGTATGTAGAGTATTGAGCTGATTGCTTCGTACTATTCTGACTTACTCATCGTTTCCTAAGTACAGCTCTTTGGACTACAACGCATTGGTAGAGATTGAGGAAGGTGCCTTTGCTGACGCCAAGATTTCTGAGCTCCGACTAGCATCCAACGCCATTTACACTCTCAATTCCAAAGCGTTTGCTGGAATGTCGACGCTGAGGAAACTGTACGTTACTTGTGTTGAGTGCTAGTTACGATGATTTTGCATTAACATACCAGCTCTTACGACCAGGAATTTGAGCGACAATGTCATCTCGGTCATCGATGAAGACGCATTCGCAGATGTAAACGGGCTCCAGGAACTCAGACTGGACTCCAATAACATTCATCGGCTGACACTATCGTCCGTTCCGACAAGTCTGGAGCGTTTAGAGCTGCAAAACAACCTGATGGATCTCATGCCTGACTTCCCTGATGACTTCGAGGCATCGCACCTGGTGCATCTGTACGTGCTCTGTGTTGACCAGTTGACGCACTGTTCTCTAACGATGACACCATTCGCATATTCAGAAATCTGAGCCGCAATTACTTGTGGTCCATCTCGACAAATGACGCTCTTACTCCATACACGGGACTCGTGACATTGTAAGTTTTTATTGCAATTATTACTTTAACGCATATTGTCGTTTATTAACGCATACGAATGCTACCTTCTGTGATGTTGCAGGGATTTAAGTAACAACCGCCTCGTCAGCTTCAGCGCCGCTGTTTTTGACCCAATCATGTCGACTATCGAGTCAATGTACGTTGCAACTGTAACATACTTGCAAATTGACTTCGTTGTTCAAGACTCACCTTGATGATGGATTTATATGGACAGGAATTTCGACTCCAACCTCATCACTTCCATTCCCAGCACCAACTTCATCGCATTGGTCAAGGAGCTTCTAACTAACGTGTACGTAGGTTTCTAATGTCGCTGTAAACCGCTACAAGTACTCACCTATTATTTGGCTATCTTCTTCTACAGCACTCTACTGAATAACCCCGGGATTGGCTGGTTTGCTGACGTGGATATGCGCAACGATTGCCCCAAAGGTAGCGTCTTTGAAGAACTAACACTATCGTCAGGCTCTGGATCAGCTGGTAGCGTGGATCTCTACGGCTGTATCCAGTGCGTTGCAGGCACTTTCCACGATAACTCGACTGGTAGCTGTGTGGCGTGCACTGAAGTTTCGTCTCGTGCGTATTCGGAAGAAGATGGCGCCACAGTCTGTTTGTATTGTCCGTACTCGTCCGACTTGGAGCCCGATCGTACAGAGTGCAGGGACTTCGAGTGCAATACGTTGTGTTGGTTAACGTTGTCCATGGGGATCGCGATTCCAGGGATAATCTTTAGCAGTAAGTTCCTGCTCTACCTGATCATGAAGAGCTCGAAACGTACGCGTAGAATGGACATCAAGGAGCAAGAAGCCATGAACGACTGGCGCATGGGACTCATGATGCATCAACTGGCTGAACCAATCAGCCCAAGTGACTCACTACTGGACGATGAGATCGATGAAGAAGCCTCTGGCCGTGGAGAGATGCCAGTGCGAATCTATGATCTCCCAGAAGAAACTAAAGACCTGGTGTTGAGTACTTTACGGGATTATTTCCAGATCAGGAAAGAGAAACGATGGCAAGCGCTTCCTGCAGACGAACAAGAAGCCACAAGTGAGTGGCAAGACGTTGAGTGGGAGACCTTCCACATGCACCGTATTCTCAGTCGCAGTTATCATGGTGAAGTATTTTTAGGCGATTATTGCGGTACTCAAGTGGTTGTGAAGCGAATGATGACGCTGCGATTTGAAGTGAAGGAGCTGGCGGACACGATCAAAAACGTGGAGTTGTTGGGCTCTTTGCATCACCCTAACATTGTCACGTGTTTGGGGACGATGTGGTCGGATCCTGAGCACTTGTGCGTCATTTCAGAATACGTTAAAGGCGGAGATTTAACTGCAGTACTGGAGGTTGACGGCTTGGACCGACCCAACAGAAACAACTCGTCATTATCCAGAATATCGACATCATCTGCTGGTGATGATACGGATTCTAAGTGGTCTCTACTCGCTGCTATTGGAATGTCCAAGGCGTCACTTATGACTCGGTTTCAAATGGCTCTGGACATCTGCAAAGCGCTCTTGTATATGCACAGCAAAGGCATCTCTCACAGTGATCTACGCAGTCGAAATGTTATGGTGACGGAGATGTTTCGATGCAAAATCGGGGACGCTAGACATCACAGTCGCGATGACACACACCATGCAACGCATGTATTGCTAGTGGAAAGTCCAGAAGTGCAGAGTTCTGACTCGGAGGAAGAGGGAGAAGGCGTTCGGTTCCTTCAGCCGGAGAGAAGAGATTTGCAACAAGACAAAGGACCGACACTGCCGCTAGTGGCGCCTGAAGTGCTGCATCACAACTCACGACATCTTCATGCCGACATTTACAGCGTTGGCATTTTACTTCTGGAACTTTGGTTTCATTCTCTGATTTTCTTCCAGAATGACAGACCGAATAATGAATTCGAAGTACGGAATCGAACCGAGAAGCTGCGACTCACTATTGATGATCAAGACGAGGTCAAGAATCGTACGGAAGACGCTACTCTACCCAGAACAGCGAGCGCTCTTCAGAAGAACAAGGAACATAATGCTGCTATGCATCACTTTATGAGCAAGTTACGCATGCTAGCGAACGTTGGTGGGACGGACGCTGAGGCGGATGAAAGCAGTTTTGGCACCACTCCAACGTCCTCCGCTACGTCGTTGACTGTATCGTTATCTTCCTCGAGCGCCATTGTCGACAAACTGTCGAAAACTATTGAGGATTGTCTGCAAAGCGACCCGAAGAAGCGACCAACTGCCAAGAAGCTCGTGGATCTGTTTCAATTCTTCTTGGATGAGATAAATGCCACATAGTAGATGCCAACTCGTTCGTATTTATCAACTTCATTGGACTACTTAGCTTTTAACTTATGCAGCCGTTTGACAACACATACAACAAGAACATGTCCCCGCTTGGGACGGGGTCAATGATGTCTGAGATACTTTACATTAACTATCGGAATAAGTCTCAAAGTATTCATGATGCTTTTCATTTTGGCTTTTGCCTAGAACCTCCGAGAAGCTCCACGAACTCGCCCAGCTTTGAGCCACTTTTTACCCAGAACGCATCAGTTTAAGAAGAGCTTAATCGCACGCAGTCAATCACTCCGCAAGATGTCGTTCTGGCCGTGTAACTCGACGAGTAATGAAGGCTTGGCCAAGAACTTGAAGCGCACGGGCGTCGTCCGCTCCGACGCTGTGTTCAAAGCGATGATCAAGACAGACCGTGCCAAGTATCTGGCACAGATTGAGACTCCAGATGGAGGACATGTCGGGGAATTGGCAGCGTACCAAGACATTCCTCATCCTATCGGCTACCATCAGACTATCTCAGCGCCACACATGCATGCCCATGCGATGGAACTGGGCTATGCAGCGATCAAGGACGTCAGCCATCCACGGATTCTTGACATTGGCGCTGGCTCTGGGTATCTAACTGCGTGTCTTGGTCGGATGGTGGAAGACAATGGACACGTTTTCGGACTGGAGATCATCCCTGGACTCGTGCAGTTCGCTAAGAAGAATATCCAGACAGCCGACGGAGACTTGATCGACCGAGGTATTGTGTCTGTGCGCTGCCACAACGGTTGGGACGGTCTACCGAACGAAGCACCATTCCACTACATCCACGTTGGTGCTGCAGCTGAAGTTCCGCCTCAAGCTCTCCTGGACCAACTTGCAGATGGCGGACGGATGGTGCTGCCTCTGGACGAAGCTCGAGGCGGCCAAGTGTTCGTGGAGATCACCAGACATGGCAATAACTTCTCGCAACGTCGACTGTTTGGCGTCTGCTACGTGCCACTCGTCCGCGAGCGTGAACGCAAGCTCAGCTGAGAGCTGTAGGAAAGTTGAAGTTTTCATAGTACCGTAGCTCGAAAAAGTCTATACCTCCATTACTGCACACCACAAGAAATCGACCATAACTTCAACTTGAGTTCATATAATGTTGCGGTCTTCACATGTTTAGCAATCTTAGGAGAGAAATAGCAATAGGAGAGAAATAGCAATCTTAGGAGAGAAACGCAACTTAGCGGCATTTTAATCGTCTCGTATTAATAGGTAACCGGCCAGGTTCGAAGCTCAGAACGTTTGCAAGTTGCGGCAGCACTTAATGCTATTGATACTGCTTTTTCATTGTAGAAAGCACGCACTGCTAAGCTGAGACGTTCCTGTCAGTTCGGTTCCTCCTACGGTAGCAAAGCTGTGAAACTCGGATTATCCTAGCTATAAGAGAGGCCATGGCGCCAATGCTGCCGCTTTGGCCGTGCAGCTCGACGAGCAACGACGGTTTAGTCCAGAATCTGCAAAAAGTGGGTATCGTACGCTTCGCTGCTGTATTCGATGCTATGAAGCGCACAGATCGCGCCCTTTTTGTCCCTCGAGCCGTTCAAGATGAAGCGTACCAAGACTCACCATGCCCCATAGGTTTCAACCAGATCATATCGGCACCACACATGGTGCGCTTTGCCACCTCAACCAAGTATTTGGCTTCAAAGCTAACCTGTTTGTGTCCGTAGCACGCTCAAGTACTGGAGCTGGCCCACGCTAGTTGTACAGATATACTTAAGCCACGAGTCCTAGACGTGGGCGCTGGGTCTGGTTACTTGACTGCTGCGCTCGCTCGCCTTGTAGAAGACGCTGGTGGTCGAGTATTTGGACTGGAACTGCTTCCCACGTTAGCCCGATCTGCTCGAAAAAATGTTTCAAACACAGCCCCCAATCTTCTGAAGACTGGCGTACTGTCATTGCACTGCTACAATGGCTGGTATGGACTGCCAGCTGAAGCTCCTTTTCACTTCATCTTCGTCGGTGCTGCAGTCTCCTCTCCCCCACAAGCAATGCTGGACCAATTAGCCGATGGGGGACAACTTGTAATCCCTGTAGACGACCCGCGTGGCGGACAAGCTCTCGTAAGCGTTACTCGTCGTGGCTCCTGCCTTCTTCACCGCAAACTCATGCCTGCTTGCTTCGTTCCACTCGTTCGCGGAGAAATCTACAAGAACCGACGCGGAGTCACCAGTACAGACTCGGAGCTTCAACAGTAAATCCTTCCGCGCTATCCAAAATATTTTTGACGTGCAAGAAAACGGAGTTCAGATTCCGGTAACCGTGGTACTCGATGAACATGAATATATTGTATTACATTTAGCAGGTAGGAAAGCGGCTCATCTGCCGACGTTTCCGTCGTTTTGTATGCATGCGTGACGCCTCCGAAGCAAACACCAACGCGAGCGATTGACCGCGTAGTATGTCCACTTTGTCTCGTTGTAGCATTCTTGGAGTGCGAATAGTGACGCTCTCTTCATCGTTTCCAGACGCAAGGATGGATATCCGCGCCTAAATTCGAACCGAGATCTGTGGAACTCTCTTAATGTGTTACTATAAAATAGTTAAAGGTTATTTGGATAGACCTACCGGAAGTGAGACCAATGTAACGTTTAATATCGATTAGAGTTCCTGTTGGGTTTCTTTGATTTTGCGCTCTCTATTCGTCTTCTAAGTCGTCGTAGTTGGAACGTGAAGTAGAGGAACTTGTGTAGTAGGATGCAAATTGCAAAGTGTGATTGTATATAGCATGTAAGCTGACCTGGGTTCAGGCGGCCCTGGAGTAGCTGGATACTCATCTAGCGACATCAACATCAGACTGATGACGCTAGATTGGATACATGTGCCACTTGTACTGATCCGGGGAAATCCAACTGTCGTCGCTATTTGGGCAAGTCGTTGAAAATAAATAGGCAAGTCGTTGTTTTGCAGACGCGACCAACCTGCTGATAGCAGAGGCAAGATGGAGGCTGCTATAGCGGTTCTTCCTTGCGAGCGCGACGCGCAAGTGACGATCAAGATAGGTGAGCCCCTTACCGATTGCAGAGCAGTTCACGGTACACGTCGTGCTATGTCTTTTGGTAGATGAAGGGTGCGGAGTACTGAAGGAGAAGTTGAAGCGGTTGTTGGCGGATGATTCAGTCGTAAGCTCGCCTAGTGTTGCAGGAATTTACGACAAGGCGACAGTAAATACACGTCAATCAGACTACAAAAGACTTCCAGAAAATACAGAGGAATTCATCACGTTCGTCAAAAAGGTGTGAGGCAGAAGGAAAGATCAAAATCAAAAGCTAGCGTTATTCATGTACGCCAGCCATGTCAACCGATCTAATCCAATTCACCGGGCAACTGCAGCTCGTATGGCGCAGACTTCTTGTAACATTGCAGAAGCACTGCAGGCTGAGAATTGCGAAGCCCCGGGTCCTGCCACGCTTGACTATTGGGCAACGGTACAGGCGCGCCAGCTCAGATTGTTCAACCTGATAACGAAACTTTCCGACAATTAAATTATATTGATG